CGCACTGGACAGGATCTGGCCCTGCGAGCCGGGACCTCACCCGCACTCTCTCCTGGGCCCCAGCACCAGCCAGGACATGACTCTCTGCCAAGGAGAGGCAACTTTGGGGGGGAAACCGAATGAACCCTGTTGTCCTCCTCCGCCTCCCTGCGAATAAATAAAATCCTAAGTGTCTAGGTGTGCGGTCCGTTCTCCAGCTCCCTGGCTCCCCTCCCTACCTCCCCCAGGCGGCTCGAGCGGGGGAGCACAGCGCCTGGGGGCCCGGTGCAGGCTGCTAGTGCGCAGGCATGGACCGGAGGCTTCGGCTTGCCCAGCCCCCTTCTGGGGAGCAAGCGGGGGACCCAGGAGTGGAAAGAGAGTGGGGCTTTGTAGTGCTGGGAGCTGAGGAAGAATGAAATGTGCAGTTGAGTGTGTTGCTCGCATCCCAGGGAGCAGTGCAGTGCTGATTGTGTGTTTCCGAGATAGCCTTTTGTTCGGAACATAAGGTTTAAGAAACACACACGTTTCCCGGGCTCTCTTGTTAGATGTAAATGTGCTGCATCCAGATGCTTACTGTGTAGTGCAAGCTCAGTTGGCTTCCTAATCACCCCGCCCCACCCCCAAACAACCAGGATCATTTGAATGGGAACCTCATTCAGACTTCTAGGCTTCCAGTGTTGCCTTCAACCGATTTCATTCTAGACTAGCCAACCATCCAACTGAGATAATAAAGCAAACAATAACATTTGATCATGATGTCTATGAGATAATGTGCCTGGCAAAGTTCTTTAGGAATTGTAATGAGAAAGAGAGTGAGTGGGATAATAATTTCTCTTTTCATTAAATATGACTTTAGTAGGCAAATGGTCAGTTTATACTTTGGCCCAGTGGACCTCCAGTCCTCTGTATTTTAACGAAGCTAAGAATGAAAGAGGCAAATTATATATTCGACCAGAGGCTCATCAAGCTGAAAATATTACCTTTGAAGGCTGGGATAGAAAATATACTTGTTTAGGACTGACTCTCCTCACATTTCCCCTGCTTTTCTGCTATAGATTTAATAGACTAAATTGTGTCTCGCCATGACAAAATGAAGTGTTTTAAAAATCCAGATATGTACTTGGAAATTTCCTTCTCCTTTTGTGATTTTCTTACCTTTTTTAGCCGCTGAATGGATGCATTTAGCTATCAAGATGAGAAAGAAAAATCATTTTAGTTAACTCTAGACAGATGACAGAATTTAAAAGACAAAAGAAAAGTGATTCGAGATCTTACCAAATATTTCTAGGGAATGAGATTTCTCTTTGGAATGGATTTGACCTTTCTGTGCATTTTTTTTAAAACCAGACTTCAAAATAAAACAGAAGAACTTTATTCTGATGTAACAGAGAACACTGAAGCCCCTTTAGTTATATTTTACAAGATAGCTTTGAAAATGATATTAGGAATAGCTACGCATTGGGTTTCACCACAAAGAAATAAGTGTAGAAAAATGTCTATGGGTCACTGTTGGATTGAGTACAGATGAATTAAAAAGAAACAACAACCGTGAAGAGCTTATAATTTCAATTATTGCCCATTTGGAGAATGACGACAAGAGGTCCCCTGGACACAGCAGATGCTCTGTGCAATCCAAGCAAAACTGGGCTGTCCTTGTTCGTTAAAAAAATGTTCAAAGCACATCAACCTTTAACACTACATTCTAGTATTGAATTTACAGTTCTTCATGTAAACCAAAATACTGAATAAAATCTATATAATGGAATATCCACTGAATAGAAAACAATATATTCTGATGATTGACTTAAAGCAATTCATTTTCAATATCTAAAACAAAGTAAGTCCTACTTTTAAAAGGGGCCAGGAAGAAGTGTGGTTAGCAGGAGTTTATTAGTATAGTAGTACCTTTTTCAATTTTCATACGTTCATTTGAAGTACAGATTATAAAATCTATCATTCAACATACAAATGAATATAATTAACTTTGCAACCAAAGAAAGGGAGACTTTTTAAAAGGGTACCGTATGGCCCTGGAGGACTGTGACTCGGTGGTTGAGCATTGACCAATGAAACAGGAGGTCACAGTTCAATCCCCAGTCAGGGCACATGCCCAGGTTTCAGACTCCGTCCCCAGTAGGGGGCGTGCAAGAGGCAGCCAATCAATGATTCTCCCTTGTCATTGGTTTTCTATATCTCTTTCCCCGTCACTTCCTCTCTCAAATCAATACAAATAAATATATTTTTTTAAAAGAGTACTGCCTGTATTTATGCAGAGTTTAAAATTGTCCAAAATTGCATGTACTCCTGGGAAATAAGGCTTACATAATAGAATATACTTTATGAGCTTTGTATGACTAATAATATTCAAAGAGGAGTTTGTCATCCCACTATTTCTAGCTTTTATTTTTTAGGTATATATGAAGTTTGCTTTTATCCATTTACTTTTTCCCAAAAGAAGATGAAACTTAATTTTCTTTTTTGAAAAGCTTCATTTTCTATTGAAAAATTAGCACATTTTAAAGTTTTTTTTGTCTTAATAAAACTATCTATAATAATAAAAGCATAATATGCTAATTGGACTGGATGACCTAACGGGATGAAGATGAGCTGCGAGGGAAGCCCGGTCCCAGGTGTCAGAGGGAAGCCAGTGCCGGCAGCCAGGGGAAGGAAGGTCTACTCTTGCATGAATTTCGTGCATCGGGCTTCTAGTCTTTAGTAAAGTAGTATGATTACATACCACTTTAATAGTCACCATATCTTATCTACACTTAATTTTTAAACTTTTACTTAAAAACGTTTTTTTGGTTGTAACTAATAATCTATCCCTCAGTATATTTTATGAAACTTGTGGTGATATGAGAATAGGAAATTTAGTCTTTAAAAGAAGTTGACTGATTAGTCAAGGAAAGAGTTAATTCAGTGGAAAAATGGACTAATTTTGTTCCTACTGCATTAACCACATGCTTACTTCTGTTTGAATATTTTTAGTGTAGAGAGAACAAATGTAATCAATTTCTAATGTACATTATTTCTGACTTTGTTTTTTAAAGAAAATCAAAAGAAAAATAAGCATAACTATTCTTATTTTCCTTGAGGAGGAGTGTGTGTGTGTGTGGTGTGTGTGTGTGTGTGTGTTCCTCTCAAGCTAATTCAGAGAGGAAGAATTCTACTTTTTTCTGTTCTTATTCTACACATAGAAGCAACAACAACCAAAGTGAAGGGTAAGGAAATGAGCAAGGTGATACTGAATGTGATTTTGCAGATGACCATATGCTTGTCTGCACTGAACTAAGGATAATGTGACCCAGGTTAGACAAGGAGATGTGCTTTGCCTATGTCAAGGGAGAAGAAAAGGAAAGCAAGCAAAACATTCAGGTAGACAGAGCATAGAACAGAGATGAGGGTGACAAGATGCTTTAAGAAAAAAATCACGTTGTAGGGAGCGTTGATGCTTGGTTTTTAATGAAATGCTAAACACAAGACAGTTTGCTTTTTAAATACCGCTTTATAGTTTCAAACTCAAATAATAACTATTTTGATGAGGATTAAACTGTTAATATCTTCTTCCAAACAACACTGTTTCAAAAAAATCTTCTAGGATTTAGTAGCTATTTATTAGGCCTAGATATTTTTGTCATATTGCTCACAAAATCTAAAGTGGGTCTTATATAGTGCAAATTACTGACGCAATATATATTTTAAAATGTTTGCATACAATTGCAACTTAGGACTTTTCATTTGCACTTCAATTCAAATAAGACTACTAAGAAGTCCTTATGTCTTCCCCTCCCCCCATCCAAACAAACAAACAAAAAAAAAACAGCTGACATCTTGACCTCATTTTAGTAAAATGACTCAATTTGTTAGAATTACACTTGAATACAGATACTGTCAAATGGTATTAGGGTGGTCCATATATCTCCTTCAAGATCTAACCCTACAGTGGAGAGGCAAGTGCGAAAGCCTGTACTGGGTTCACTGGAGATATTTTTTGGTAGTGCAGAAGTGTTTTTTTCTGATAACCTGAGGACTGTTTTTTTCACTCATTCTTTAAATGGTGGTAGTGTTCATATATTTGCTGCAACCTCTGCCTGATTTTGCATGATTCTCAATTTCATACTGAACTTACTATAGTTAAAAGTATTGCCCCCCCCAAAAAAAATTGTAGATGATTTAAAGAAAATAAACATTAACCATTTTGGAATGAGACGAGATAAATATAGTTCAAAGTGAATGTTATAAGTGACTCATAAAGAGGTTCTGGCCAGAAGAAGATATAGATTCTTTTATGAAGAAGAGAGCAGATTTCCTGGCCTTGGTAGTCTTCATCTTTATGCTTCAGTACAACAAACCACTTGTAGTTTGCACACTCCATGCTGTCTGTCCCCTGACTGCCCTGCATTCATTGTGCCCTCTGGTTTCCCCTCCGCTTCTGTGGCCCAACTCCCATAGGTACTTGCCTCTTCCAAGGAGACTTCCAGGCTCTCTAGGGCCGCTTCAGTATCTTTCTCCTGCGCCTTCACATCATTTTAAAAGTACCTTTTAAACTCTGTCTCTCTCTTTCTCTCTGCACCTTCACATCGTTTTAAAAGTACCTTTACAAGTGGGTGACTCCTAT